ATAAATTGGCAAACTAGTCACCACTACATGTAGTTTTGAACCCAGTGCACAGGTTTATATACTATGTACATAAACTAAGTGTTTCAATTTACAGGCAACGACAGCTACAAAGAAATAAACAAAAACAATTAAAACGAAATAGCCCATAACATTCTTGATAATTGTTTTTACCAGTTAAAGTAAATCTGAGGAGACTGTGTTTCTGCAAAAACGTCTTGCATGAAAGAGGTTTCTTCCAAATTCTTTTCTTTCAGAATTCTAAACATTGCGCGGCATGTGCCTCCTGCCTCGCTTACAATTTCTACACATATCTCACACCGCGCAATATGCGCCTCGTGCCCCTTTTGAAAGAAAAAAAGGGAAAAGAGGTGTGAAGTCATATTTGCTATTAATTTAATACACATTCAACAAAATGGGCGTCTGCAGGGGTGTCAATGGGGGTGAGGTGGGCAAATGTCCCCCGCCCACCCTAAACAAAATTATCAATTGAGAATATGCTAGAGAAAGTACAAGGATTTGGGGGAACAATTTGCTTTGCCCCCCGCTAGAAAAAAATCCTGGCGACGCCCATGCATGGCCAGGGAGGAAGGGGGAGGGCGAAATAACAAGACTTATTTTAGTCCATACACTTCTCTTTTTTTGGCCATAACTGATTGCAATAGTACCTCACCAGTTTTCATACCAAAATCCTGAGGTTTCAACAGTTCGTACAATGTAGCCACGAACCATTCCTTCGTTAGCTCAGAGCAACATTTTATCATGCCCTGCAAAAACAAGCAAGCCATTAATAAAAGCATGTTTTTTTGTTTTGTTTTTTTAGATAATAAGCATATGTTACATGAACTCCAAGGACTGAGGCTCCGTCAAACTCCAAATTGAAGTCTACCGACACTGTTTCTGTTTTTGAGTAGTCAATATGTGAACCCCAAAAAAGTAGATCACGTCTCCAATATTAGGCAGCTTTTTTCTGCTTCTCGTACTTTGACTGAATGGCTGGCTTTTGTTGGAAATGAGATGGGTGAAATTATTGTCCATTTGTCTTTGATGAAAACTGGTTCTTCCTCGTTTCTACTCGTGAATATTAATTTGTGATGACAATTTTTTGTCAAAAGCCAGCCATCCAGTCAAAGTATGAGAAGCAGAAAAAAAGCTGCCTAATATTGGAGACGTACATTTTTTTTTGGTTCGCATTATGACTACTCAAAAACAGACACAGTGTCGGTAGACTTCAATTTTGAGTTTGACGGAGCCTCAGTCCTTGAGTTTATGTTCATGTAACATATGCTTATCATCTAAAAATACATGTTTTTATTATATGGCTTTCTTGTTTTTGCAGGGCATAATAAAATAGTGCTCTGAGCTAACGGAGGAATGGTTCGAGGCCACATTGTACGAACTGTTGAAACTTCTGCATTTAGGTATGAAAACTGGTGAGGTTCTATTGCAATCAGTTATGGCGAAAAAAAGAGAGTGGTGTATGGACTAAAATAAGTGTTGTTATTTCGCCCTCCCCCCCCCCCCCTCCCTGGCCATGCATGGGCGTCGCCAGGATTTTTTTTGTAGCAGGGGGCAAAGCAAATTGTTCCCCTAAAATCCTTTTACTTTCTCTAGCATATTCTCAATTAAAATTTTTGTTTAGGGTGGGTGGGGTACATTTGCCCACCACCACCATTGACACCCCTGCAGACGCCCATTTTGTTGAATGTGTATTAATGTAATAGCAAATATGACTTCACACGTTTTTTGGTTTTTTGCTTTTCCGGAAAGAATGTTATGGGTTACTTCGTTTTAATTTTTTTTTTTTTTATCTTTGTAGCTGTCGTTGCCTGTAAATTGTAAACACTTAGTTTATGTACATAGTATATAAACCTATGCACTGGGTTCAAAACTACATGTAGTGGTGACAGTTTGCCAAGTTATTCTCGCAATAAACCCTGTAATCTTTCATATTTCTGTACGAGTTCATCGGTGCCCTAAGACAGTCACTGCATGAAAGAGGGTTCTTCCTGCACCTTTTCTTTGAGAATTTCAAACATTGCGTGGCAAATAAGTGTAGGGCCTATGGCCTCGTACGTCTTTTGAAACTCCCGCACTAATCTCATTCAAAGTGAGCAACTGGGCTTTTAGTTTCCATTGTTGTTGCATTCGACGTGTTTATGGCAGTTCTCTGGCTGTGTGTGTCTGTGTGTGTGTGTAATAATCAAAAGTCTTTATTTCGAATGACAAAGGTTACCGTACAGAGGAGCCAGTTGATCGGCCAAGTTCCATTGATCACGCCCCTTCGTTTCAGCGAGAAATGTGATTGGACAGGATGACTGTCATGACGAGCTGTCATGACGAACCGTCATGAATAACCGTCCAAAACGAAAGAACGCTAATTCACGGTGCTTTTAAATAGGCTCCATGTACTGGCAATATATGTTTATTAGAGGAACGTTCGATGTGCATCGTTTCTGGGGATTAGCGGTGTCGTAGACACAAGTGTGAGCATAGTAATTTGATTGAATTTCAGGGAATCGTGACCAGGACAGGATTAGACTGGGTTTTCCAAGGTACATACCGTACTGTTTTCTTTTCTACCAAAGGCACTACAGTATACTATTATTTTAAAAATTACAATAGACTTTCTCTACTACAACTACTAGTCTTCAATTCTTGCTCGTTCCTTGCTCTTTTCTTGCTCATTTGCACTTTTCTTGCTCAATTGCTCTGTGATCAAGGAATTTCTTCGAGGATCTCGGAAAGGGTAAGAAAAGAGCAAATGAGCAAGAAACGAGCAAGATAACATGTCGCTTGCTTACTAATTATAATAATAATAACAAGTTTCATTCACTAGAGTATGCCCATAAAGTAATCGGTAACCGCCTTCATCCATGCATTGGGTTGCTATTTTCTGTTGTTTATACTGACGATTCAAGTTACTAAAACAACATACATAGACAATATATGTAATATAGAGAAAAATTATTCACTTACGCACGCGCGTTGTCTGCATCGTCGTTTGCCCTTTTCCCCCTTTTGTTGTACTATTATCTTCAAGCAAAAATACTCATTCAGCGATAATCCCCATCTTATTATCGATTTGTCTAACGATCCATGACGTCACTTCGCCTCAGACACGCCCCGTTTTATGATCCTCGTCGGGCTTACCGATATGATCCTCTATGAGTATCATGATCCTCCTCATAAAAACGGGGTCAAATACACACTATACACTACTGAGATTGTTGTTGTTTACAATAATTTTGTCTACGCCAAAACGTTTTCTCACCAATAATTTTGGGAATTTCCTTGACTTGTTTTTAGTCTCCAATGTTAGGCAATCCTTCACCTACTTGTTAGCCCAATTTACGGACACCTCGTTTTTTCCCCCGTTTTTGTTTTCTGGGCTAAATATCACAATGTTATCATTGTTTACATGATTTTGCATAAGGTTTTAATAGGGTAATTGTACCAGTAAGCAGCTTGGTGAATTTGAAGTTCATCAATGCTGATGTTTGGCAAGACTAATTGATGATATCTGGAGACAAGCTAAATGCGCGTAACTTTAGGGCATAAAAGTAGCCATTTTGGATCGTAACTATGTCCTCATAATTATTCAGTCACTTATATGCTTTGGAAAATGTTATTTAAGTAAAGATATGTAAGTAGAATCCCCAAAATACACTTTTCAGTTTTTTGTTTTTTTAAATATACCGCCATATGGAAATAAATACATTTAAAAATTATGCAAATTAGGCACCCTTCCAAAAAGAATTTCATGCGTCACCCCTTCTAAATTTCTTCTCTAGGGCTATAAGAATCTATCTGCCAAGTAAGGTGCTTTGGACCAGTCGGTCTCGATCTTGTCAAAAATTAGATCTAATCCACCTGACTATTAGTACACGGTCAGTGTTTTCTTACAAACTTGCCAGCATATTCCCACATACAATGGACGTAATCTAGAGAATAACTCTCATCAAAATATTTTGGCTGAGGCCTTTATCTTTCGGATACAGGAATTGTGTTTGGTTAACGATGCAAATAAGCAGTATTCACAGATAAGGCCGATCTAGTCTTTCTATTTTATAGCTATGGAGTACCGAAGCGTGACGTCATTTAGAACCAGAAGGTGTAGTGCAAACTTTTTTGTGAGCGTGACGTGTTCACTCCGGTATAGTCCCTGGGATAGGGCCATTTAATCACAAAATTTTATGATTAATCTTAATATTATTTTCTGTTGTAGGGTACCTTTGGACATCCGAAAATGGTGCTCTTAAGTTGCACAGCCGGTACTTTTGCCTTCCAGCTCCAGAAAACTGATATTTTGGGAGCTATTTTTTTGAGAAACGGCTAAAATCATATTTTGGGCCTCTGCTCTCTCAAAAATGGTCCCGTCATGACCTGTTTGCACTTTCTACAATCCTGATAGGATGGGTAAACAAGAAAAAATGTGGTTGGTCCCAAGTTTATCCGTTTTCGTGTTCCCAGGGCATATATTGCTTTGCGGACACCCCCCAAATCGTGTGACTTTGCCCTGTTTGGGGACAGAAATGAGTTTGAAACTCACACTTATTCCAAAGACAAAATTTAAAATTTTGCGATGAAATGGCTTTGTCCCAGGGACTACTCCATGGCAAAATGTTCTAAATACGCGCGCATGTTGCTCGAAATTTCTTCGAAGTACGGCACAGCCGATGCGCGTCACAAAAATTGTACTCCCAAACTGCGGATGCACATGACAATCTGTTGGCAGTGACGTCAGTCGAGAGATATATATAGCACTCTTTATTGCTGTAAAACTATCAATAATTATTGACTGATTGTTGGAAATCACTTACATTTCTAGATTTCGTCGAAATGACAGGCAATCAGACGGAAATGATTTCAAGGGGTGTTCAATACCAGTGCGACCTTTCATCGAAGTTCGTTTTATATAATACTTTGGTAGGCTACTTTTGGGATAAATGCAAATAAACCTATATATATGCCGTTAAACCGTACACTACGGCAAAACTCACCTCTCTCTGAGCATGATGTAGCGCCCAAATTCCGTGGCTTAACGCCATCGCCATTAGTAACAAACGGATCATCCTTTGCGCTCGTCTCAAGCATCCACTTGGGTCGACAGAGTGAGTGAATGAGTGATCCTTGCACGATGAAAGTTCGCCGGGATATGAAAGTAACTGCCTCCTGCAGGCGGTTGTAGTTGCTGGGGATGGGCATTAATCATGCGTCATACACACACTGATGTTGTCCTTCCATATTGTTATGCCTTTTATGCATTGTTTTTTTTTTTCCTATTCGAATCGAATCCATTGTGTCTAGTCAAACATAAGTACGGTGGCCCACAACTGTCACGGGCAGAACAAATTGGCCACGGCAAGAGCAAATTGGCCACGGCAAGAGCAAAAGGGCCACGGCAAGAGCAAATTCGCCACGGTAAGAGCAAATTCGCCACGGCAAGAGCAAATTCGCCACGGTAAGAGCAAATTCGCCACGGCAAGAGCAAATTCGCCACGGCAAGAGCAAATTCGCCACGGTAAGAGCAAATTTGCAAAAGCGAAATAATAAGGGTGCAACCCTGCAAAACAAATTCTATACAAGACACTAGTGCTAAATGCGCATACTTCAAAATTCTTTAAAAAATACTCTTTTCATTTTTTGGTGGGTTGACTATTGACTTTTCGAGATATTCTCACCCAAAGCAGACGACCCCTATTTTCCCCAAAGCGGAAAAGTAGCCATCTTGAAAAACGATCCCTCCACAACAAAGAAAATAGCGCCACTTTCGAGCCCAATAGCATCCAAAATGCTCAGAATTGGAAGCCCCAAGTCCGGGCCAGAGGTTCATTGCCATATCTCTTCAATTCCCCAATTTTATGGCTCTCAAAACTCTCTAATATAGAATAGTTTGAGGGTATAACTTTTATTCATGGGCTCGGCGGACGGATTTTTGGCCTATTTACAGGCGTGCACCCAAATGACTTTTTACTCGGCACGTAGCTCCCGTGTGCGGCGGGCTTCAAGAACGGACGCAAACAGGCTTCTCTGTTATTTTCAAGGAGTTCAATTTAAAAGTAAAAAACAACTTAGGTAACAGATGCACTGAGTAAAAGCAGAAACTCCGCTTTTCGTTCATCTCTCCAAGCCTTCCAGGAGAATAAATGAAGGCTGGACAGAGTGCACGAAGCCTATGACCGACCATAGAAAAGAAAAATGTATTTGCTACTGATATTTCCCATCTTCCAGTCATCAAAAGGAATTACATCAAAAACAAATGTTGCAAGACTGTATGTATCCTCGTTACAAAGACTAAACATTATTTGTAAATAATATGAAGCTTTTTTGTTGGTCTTTGGGCTGTTTCTAATTTGGAATACGACTCCTCATTTCCCTGTTTTTGGGGTCGGATGGGTGAGGCTTTAAATAGGTGTACCGAAGAATATGCCAACATCGGTCTTTATTAATATTATTATTTTTAAGGAGGGCGCTTTCGCACTCATGAAGAACTTTAAATGCTTTAATGCTGAAATTAAAAGGTAAAGACGGACAAATACGTACAGAAACAAAAAATGCTCTTCGATTATAGTTTGCTAGCAGTTAGCACTGAGTATACTTGGAATTTTTTTTTATTAATGTCACTCTTTTAATCGAACTCAAAGGTTATAATTCATCCACCACCATTAATCAAATTAAATCAATTCAACATATAAGTTGGTAAAATAAAGCCAATTGGTCATAAAAACACCTTATAATCTGCCACCGATAATCAAGGATAAAAAAGCTATAAGTTGGTAAACACAACAATTATTGTCACAAAGGAAAGGTAATGACGTCATTGAGAGTTTATCGCCATGCATTCTGGGAGCCAGTGACCATATCATTTTTATCTATAATGTTTCCTTTCAATTGTGCTCTTGTATTTATCATGGTACACTGTAAATCTCTGAGTCCCGTTATGCACGTCAATATATACTTGATACAAACCATTAATACTTATTTCTAATTCTCAAACAGTGCGACGTAAGGGTGTTCATTATTTTAGTCAGAAGCACGTTGCTGAATGCAGGGTACGTGCATAAGTTCGATAAAATCTCATCCCCAACCAAATAAAGACCCATCAGACCGACTCCTCATAGGCCCGACGCCCCATAGTTCCCACGCCCCATAGGCCTGACGCCTCATAGGTCCGACGCCTCGTAGGTCCGATAATTAAATTTACTTTCATTTCGGTCCATAAGTCCGGCGTCTCATAAGTCCAACGCCTCGTTTGTCCGACAGCCATTCTTAATACATGTAAATACAAACATCGCGTAAAATGTCAGAATGTTACCGCCACCAACTGTTACAGTTAGAGATTACACATTTGCTCATGAACCCGGGGGGGGGGCACCACTGATATTAAACCCACTGAGAGCCGGGCGTGTAGTTTGGTCCATAATTGTCCGAGTCCTGGTACAATGGGTTCAAAAACCACTGGAAACTTGTTCTTGCCTTGTCGGTCAAAATGAACCTTTCTTTGTAACCGTCCATAGCTCCGACGCCTCATAAGTCCGACGCCTCGTTTGTCCGACGTCGGACTTATATGAGGCGTGGGAGCCATGAGGCCGAATACTAAAATTGTCCGAAAGTCAGATGCCTCATAAATCCGATGCTTCATAATTCCGAAATGTTGGACTTATGAGGCATCAGACTTACGGTACGGCCACAACTAAATAAACCAGAACAACCATCGACCGTTCCATCATTGTGCTCAAAATACGAGATACCGGGTGACTTTATACGTCAAGGCTATATATGACTGTATCAATTATATATCAACAGAAAAGTCCCAATGTAAACACCAAACGAGCCAATGAAACTTTTGTTACACTAAAAAGTAAACGTATCATTCGTTGAACACCCTATCAACTTGAACGCTGTGTATAGGCAAAATCATTTGCTGAGGATAAAGGGAATCATATATCAATTTAGATTGTCGTCGCAAAATCATTTCACTTGAAAATGACGATGACATGAGTTATATCGCTTGATAATTTTCCTTGGTTTTCCAAAAATACAATGCTCTTAAAAGCTCTTCGCCTTTCTTCCTCCTTTCTTCCTAATCCTCCTCCTCCTAATCATCATCATCATCCTCGTCAGATGATCCTTCGTCTTCTTCCTCTTCTTGCTCCTCCCCCTCCTCGTCATCATTCTCTTAAAAAAATAACACAAACAAGAAAGAAATGATAAATTCATTGCGAATCACCAAAATCGAAAAGCTATTTCAAGTAACATCCAAAGAAAGTGACAAGGGGGTCAGGCGCGGTTCTAGAGCCAATATTTTTGGGGGGCTAGCAAGGTGGATCCGGAATTTTTTTTCTGGGAGGCGTGCTGAAATGTAGACCGGTTATTTTCTCAGGAAATTTAATAAAAATCAACATGATGACGTCATCATGACGTCACCTCAATTCTCATCTACAACACATCCCGCTATGTCTGCCTTCCAAGTTTCATTGGAATCGGGCTTGTAGTTTTCTAGATATAGGCCCTTGAAAAATGCACTTTCATAATGACGTCACATGACACGTGATGACGTCATGATGACGAAAATCTTCCAGGACCACCTGTGGGTGGTGGTTTTAGTATGTGATTAGTCTGAAAACGATCGGATTCTATACAGTGGCAAAGTGTACTGGTGGACGAAAAACGTGTACAAACCCTATGGACAAAATGTCCGAAAAATAAGGAAAAAGAAACAAAATCTCAACGAAAACAAGAGCTGTTTCGGTGTCTACCGAAGCAAAGAACAATCGAAAAGAAAATGATTAATTGAAATTATTTATGTTGCTTATCAGGTATTGCGCAATTGATTTCCCCAAATAGAAAAGCAACATTCCTGCAGCGTGAATGTTCAACTCGAAATACGAAATACTATGTCAAGATGATAAAGTTCAAAAGCTAACGACTAATTGAACTTTCCGATCAAATCGATGCGAGTAAATTCACAGAATTACCGGTTTTACAAAGAACGCCACGAAACCCAGCAGTACACGTGCAGGAGAACTCATTGACACCATCCACGCACTCGGCACCATTCAGACATGGATTGCTGCCACACTCGTTAATATCTGGAACAAAATGCATGGAAGTATTTCACTGATCTCTTGTACTTGAAATCTTCTAGGGACTATTGTGATTTATATCACCCCGACGCAAAATTCCATCTTATAATAGTTTATGCGGTACTCGCTGCTATGTACATCAGATTTGAACCAGCCAACCGATCCCGTTAGCTCGGTGGTCGAGTGGTAAGACATCTGCACTAGAAAGCAGGAGGTCGTGGGTTCGAGTCCCACCCGAGTGTTTTTTTTTTCAACTTTCACTCGGGAGGTAACACACTGAGTATACAGTGTTTAAAACGTCGGTGAAGGGTTAAACCTAATTTGACTATTGTAGAGTTGGGCACATAATGAAGGTCAATAAGAGCTATACGATAGTATCACTTACTAGTCTCGCATTGGTCACCAGCGTAGCCAAGGGAACATTGACAACTGAAACCATTCACGTCGTCAACACAAACACCTCCGTTCTGGCAAGGGTCGATTGCACAATCATCGGTATCTGTCAAAGGAACAAAAGGGAAAGAAATCATATTTACAGCTTTATTTCCAGTAATCTGACAGAATACAAAACTTAAGTTACCTACCCTGGCTAGTTTCATTTTAGCTCAGAGATTATTGCATCGCCTTTGCACGAGAATGACGTCGTATATGACAGACTGAACCCTGCAATGGCATAGCAGTTTTTGTTCAAAATAATGGAGGAGTTGTCAATTAACTTACTGGTCTCGCATAAGGTACCCTCTTATCCTAGGGAGCATTCACAACTGAAACTGTTCACTTCGTCATGGCAGACGCCATTCTGGCAAGGACTGCTCTCACATTCAAACAAAATTAAGTATCAGAGATAGAACTGCCTGTCTTTTACGAATTGACAAAAACTTACTAATCTCGCATAAGGTACCCTCGTAGCCCGGGGAGCATTCACAGCCGAAACCGTCTACTTCGTCAAAACAGACGCCATTCTGACAAGGACTGCTGCGGCATTCATCAACGTCTGCAAAGATAGAGCCAAAAAGGCAAACTGTTCTATAAAGTGATTCAACTGTTTTGAGAATGAAATATTCATATAGATGAGATTTTCGAGCAGCCTGACCCAAAAGAGAATGTTTATAATGGAGA